CGCAGTCCACTATGGTTTTGTAATCCTTATACAGATTGATGATGAAGCAAGAACATAAATAAATTTATCTACCTACAACGATCTTCTTAATATTGACTTATTAGAAGCTACAATTCTATCAATAACAAAAACTGACACCAAGATTTAAACACTAAGGTTCCAGGACAAACTTGAAGCTATCCCAAATTTATTGATACGAGAACTATCAGCTTATTTAAGCACATGCGAATTTTATAAAAAAATCTACAGGGATTTCCTTTATCCTTTCGTTTCTAAAACAGTCGTGATGTCATGAAGAATTTAAACATATTCATCATTAGAATATTTTTATCATTTCAGGGATTATGAAGGAATATAACAATTGGCGAGAAATGACTTCGAAAAAGAAAATGGGCCATACTCCTGCGAAACCAGAATCAGCCTTCTTCAAAGTAATCAAACCCTTAATATATTACTTACGCCTCGTTGGTGGCTTTCCTTATTTTGAACATAAAGGTACATAATTTATTTACACAATTTATCTATTCAACGCACTTATCTATTTACATAAAACGCATGTATTTGGATTGTTTTATTAAATTTTTTTTTAACTTTTACATGGGCGTCATTATGTTTAAATTGTTAACGGGGGCAGGGACCACGCTATATAATGAAACTTCTCTTAGCGGACACTTCTCTATAGCGGACAATTTTCATATACCTCATAAAAAGTGAAATCATTTAATAGAATTGAGGTTTTCCGCATTCCGGACGCCCTCTATAACACTGTTGGGCTTGCTGTAAGTATTGGGTTGGCAAATAAATTCTTTCGGTTTTCAGAGTGAAATAAAACTCAATGTTTTATAAAATTTATTTTAATCTACAATATATTGATCATTATTTAATATGACTTTTTCCCATCTTTTCACTAACTCCATACTGCCATGTTCATTGAATCCAAGTGATTGTTTATGTCCTCTTCCTTTTGGAATTTCTTTCCATTCATGGAGTTCTGCAGAGACCGAAGTAAGTGGTAGTCACTTGGAGCTAGGTCTGGTGAATAAGGAGGTAGCGCCTTGGTGGAACACAACTCCCTTCCGATCATTCATAACTCTTCAGGATGTTCTCCAAATTCGATGTTACCTTTTTTAAACTTTTATTGAGTATTAATACAGTCTGCCACACTGAAGGGCATTGGTACTAGTGCTATAGTATTCATTCACACAATATGTACATAAGAAAGGGAAAAAAAAGTATATATATGTATATATATATATATATATATATATATATATATATATATATATATATATATAAATAAAAAGATAAAGTAATATACAAGATAATTAAAACAACAGACCAGCCGACTAATAACAAAACAAATAAAACACATTCACACCTATGTACAATATTTACATTGGCCCAGGGGACTCCGAATCAAGCTTTGTCCCCCAACTGTGGAAACCAAAGCAGGACACCAGATGATCCCAGTGCTTCTCTCCCAGCCGCGTCACTGATATTCGATGTTACCAAAATCTTTTTAGGGCCATAGCAATCTGTCGCACTGAATGGATGGGATTTTGATCAACAATGGGCTTATAACATTGCTCGATTCAATTTCATGTGGGCGACCAGACCGTTGAGCATCATTGGTGTCAAAATTTCCAAATGTGGCAAACCAATTTTGACAGGTGCGTTCGGTTAAGCCATAATCCGCATAAACACTGCAAATTTTTTTATAGCTTCAGCAGCACGCTAACTTAATATAAAATAATACAACAAAATATGCCAATAATGAATGATATTTTCTTCCATATTCGCAGTGCAATAGCAAACACATTACTAAGCTAGTTTCAACAAGAGTTAACAGATATAGTTGTTGACATATTACAAACAGGATAAACAATCCACCTTAGGAAATAATTCATCAGATAAGAAGTGTATCATTGTGTCATAAAAATAAACAGAAAAACCGAAAGGACTTTTTTGCCAATCCAATATTTTGGTTGATAAATTTCTCCATAACGAAGTGCAGGAAACCTGCGATGCTCATATTCTCATAATATTCTTATATTTATAATAGCATAGTTCAATTATATGTGTATTAGAGATTATAAGTTTAATCTTTCGTTGTTAGTTCTCTTACAGAATTAATTGACAAAATATCATGTTTTTTGAGTCCATTTAAGTTAAGTGCTCGTAAAAAACTTAGTGTTCACGAATCAGCTAGTCAATTAAAAATTAAAAAATACAGGAATGAGACAATTCAATGAAAAAAAAGGCAATTTTCTATAACATCAGATCTTACCATTGAGGTCAAATAACATTCCTCAAATTTGAGTCACACAGCAAAACATGCGGGAGCCAAGTAAAATAATATTTTTAAACGCTCGTACTCGCTATGGTTTGGATCACTAGCGGATCCAGGATTTAATTTTGGGGGGGGGCTTCAGCCCGAAAACTTTTTTTTCATAAAAATAACGATAATTACTTTGGAAAAACAGAAAGAAACTAACTACCTATATGAAATGGTGTTTAAGTTATTCCTTAAGTACTTTTAAATGTAATTACACTAACAATAATACTTTAAGAGGTATTTTTAAAAAAATTTTCCCATAAAACATGGTTATATTTTTCCATTTTGGGGGGGCTTCAGCCCGAAAGCCCCCCGTAGATCCGCCCGTGGTTTGGATAATGTGAAGCAGGAATTGATTTTAGACAAAGAAATACTACGGGTCTAAATCCTAATCCACACTAGTAGATATGTGCGATTTTGGTTTCTGAAACATGTCTGTAGACCAATCCCCGTCTGCAGGCCTGTTGGGTGACCAAAAATCGCACGGTTCAAAAGTCTCCCGGTCGGAATGGGAGACATTATACAACTTAGACATGTTGCGCAACATTTTGACAGTGTAGACTTCACTCGACTTCTAGATGCGACACGCCCCAGTCTGACTCCAGCTATCGAGTGGTTGGTTCGGCTGTTTACAGTTCTTTTGAAAAGTTTTACGGTTCTACTGAAAAGATGTGGTCTAACGAGAAAGTCTTAAAACTTAATCGAAGATTTCCGTAGCGTCTCTCAGTCCAAATTTATTTAATAATGTATTACTGAACCTAGGCCCTTCTACGAGCACTTTGCGCATCCGCCAAAGTTTACATTTTCGCGTTCTTTCGCTTGTAATTAGCACTAAGTAGGAACTCATTCCATACAAAACTATGTCCTACATTGTGGGCTGCGAAAATGGAACGCTAGACGATACAAAGAACGGTGTCTCTAGTCCGTGTCTCAAGTGCTTCCCTAGACAGTCCATAGACAAATCGCGGAACAATGTCTACTAGTGTGTACCAGGCTCAAATAATAATAGTGAACTTATTTCTTCTTATGGATTTGTTAATAAAATATGCAAGATTTTAAGACCATAAACATATGGACAATTTAAAACATTGCTGGTGACGCATGAGACCGTTTTAAACATTGGGGAGAGAGAGAGGTTAAGAGAAGTGATAACGTTCCAATAAGGATCGATGTCTATGAACGTTTACGAATTAAAATTAATTGTTTTGTTTTTTTCGTATTGGGTATTACTTACTATTTATTATTGAAAAATATATATATATTTTTTTTTACAGGCATTCCACACTTCAAACTGTTTTCGTGTTGGACTTTGTATTCAGTAATATTTATGGCTGTCGAGATAATATTGTTGCAGTTACGTACAGTGAAGTTATTATTTAGTAAAGATACAAATATTTTCGACATCAGACTTCGTTCCCAAATTAATGTCTTCCTCACTATGTTTCATGCTTTTGGTCCAATAACACTTTGGTTCGAAGTGGCAGGTGTCGTCAAGTACCTCTCCAAATGGAATACTTTTCAGGTAAATAATAAATATATAGCATTAAAGAGCGTTGTAAATTTCCACTGAACTTTGTCTTAATTCTCCAAGTTTGAAGGAATTTAGAAGATTATCCTTTGTCAGGGGTGCCCAGAAGTGGGTTTCATGGAGCAAGTTACACAGTAAAAATATTTGAGAGGGGCACATTTTGATAGGTTTTGAATATTTTTGGTGGTGGAGGACACATTTCTACGGGGTTATGATTTTTTTTAAATGAAAAGTTTCAAACCAGAGAACAATAGGAAAGCAAAGTACAGACGTGTCATTGTATGTGTCTTATTGTTTATTTATTTATTTTTTTTATTTATGGTATTTAGAACTGTATTAATAAATAAAATACATTTAGTAAATTTGATAACAGAAAATAATAACATGAAATCACTTGTTGAGAAACTAACTATCCACTGGTAGCACTCTAAAAACAAAATTTATTTACAATAAGAGATCTCGAGTCCATCTTCTTTTCAGAAACCTCGGAGGGTTATCAGGGATAGAAGAGGAAGTAAGGTTAGAGACGAGAGGATTCGGATGTTTCTGAAGTTTATTATGAAAGGATTACTTATTGTTTTTAAAATTCATCTTTAGCTGGCACTGTTTCGTAGATGAGAGCAATATAATACTTTGGAAGAAGGAGGGAGTAAGGTTCATGCGCCATAGACCTTGAGGGGATGGGCATCCCTGTTATTTGTTACGAAGAGTTTGCACAAAATTTTAACAAAAATGACCCCATTATACAAACAAATTTTTACGTTTTTAAAAATCATTATGTAGTGAAACATCAGTGAAATTTTGTTCAAGTAAGCCAGATATTTCAAAAATCATGTTTTATTTTCACATACTTTTAAATCATTTAAATTTGTGTTGTTTTTAAATTTTAGATTTATTTTTTCCAGATACCTATCCTTCCATAATAAACTTCTGAACCGTTCGAATCCTCTTGTTTCCAGCCTTGCTTCCTCTTCTATTCCTGATAACCCCCCGAGGAGTCTGAAAAGAAGATGGCCTTGGCTCCTTCTAATATAGAAATATAATTGGAGTGCTACCAATGGGTAGTTTCTCCTCATGTTATACATTATACAGTATTAAATTTCAATAATAAAAATAAATAAAATTATTTTTATTGCAGGCAGAACTGAATGCATACAGTATCGTTTTGGATACCAGTCTGAAAAAATGGATCTATGGCCTCATGCTGATATCTTTCATTTACGTGCTCACAGCGTCTTATTTTGAAACGAAAGTCTATGGAAGGATAATAGACTTGCCCGCTGTTATCATCGTCCATGCTACCATTTCACTTACATTTTCACTAGTGTTCTTTTTAGGATTGCTCAGTCTATCTACAGCGATCGGCCTAAAAAAGCGTATAAAGGACAGCCAACGAGCTCAGGACATTGCTGCGTACAGAAAACTATGGGTTAAGCTCGCCCACTTGACCACCGAAATAGGCAACGTTCTTGGTCCGACGATGATGGAATGGCTACTCATCGGCAGTATTGCAGTAATCATCAGCTGTTACTCCTTGATCTATCTTCTTTATGACATCGCAGCGCACAATGCCATCGATCAAAGCGAGATCAACTCAGGGGTTTTCTTTCTGGTTATGAGCTCTATCTTATTGATCTTTCTTTGCGAGTTTGGGAACAGACGCACTTCTTCTGTAAGTTACCGCTATTATAATAATGTTTATTAATTAAACCTTAAACGCTTAATTAAATAATTAATTAAGGGGGAAAACTCAGGGGGCGGGGTGGCCGAATGGGCTAAAGCGTGTGCATAGCACCGCGAGTTGCCCGGCAACCAGATTTTAAATGCCCCGCCCTCACCCTCCGGCCCGGGGAAATCCCGTATAGCCTAAATGGCGAGTTAGGAAAGAACAATAAAAAAAATAAAATAAAATAAAGGGAAAAACCTGGCGGTTAAGCGTGATCTCGGTCAAATCACCTCCTTGCACAACCGTTGACCTAGAAACAGTGCTTTCCCTAAATAGTACTGAACCCCAGACAGACCCTTCCTAGGTTGTAGTGGCACAGGTTTTTTTTTTTTTTTTTGAGTTATACACGGCAAGGACAGTAAAAAAATTGATTTAACACAAAACAAAATAATCTGGTGCGGTGCGCGCAACACACAACTTTCACTTACCACCCTCTTCTCAGCAGATATAAGTATTTCCAGACAAAGGGATAGTAAAAGTAAAAATTATAGACGCTATATTTATTTATATTTCATCGTGGGTATTTTTATTTGTTTAAGTACCCTTATATCTATACAAATTTTAATATTTATATCGCTGTAATTTATTAATAATTCCAACGATATTATTTATGAAAACCGCACATGTATTTGTGCCATCATTTTACTCCATCCTCTATTTCACCTACGAGACTCAGTTCGGAGTCAATAGGAAGAAACTGGGAAAGGAGCGCAAGCCTTCGCATCTCACGGCAGCCCAAAAACTACATCACTCTTTTCTTTAAAAAGATGTTTTTCTGGATCTTTTTTTTTTGGAATTATTTTTCTAACATCCAGAGGGGGATGAGTCCTCTGAATTACATTAGAAAATTCGTCTATAAGGGTGCATGCTTCCTATATTTCTCTTTTCTTTAAATAGGGTTATTTGAAAAAAAAATTCACCATCCAAGGGAGGGCGCGCCCCCTGGCAGATTTCGCTAGTGCTGGACACGATTAGTGATGGGGCCATATGGCCGGAGCTGTGATTCTGTCACTGTGACTGGGCCGGAGCTGGTGATCCCAGTGACAGGTGCACCGAAATCACAGTGACAGTCACGGTAGGCGCTGAAATCACTGTTCTCCCAACAGTGACGATCACTATTAGCGCTGTGAAATCAGCTCTGACTACTCCGCTCTATCACTTCTTTTTCGTTCTAGCAATAATTTAATAAATAATAAATAATCATGAAATAATTATTTCTAAAATAATAGTTATTCGTCAAATTTTATAAAAAAATACTTTTTGAACTTCAGATGAATTGAGCATTCATTGCCATATATTTCTGAATGAGTTATGTCTGAAATAATTAACAGGGAGTTTTTCATTTAACTGTTGAAATATAAATATAAAGAAACCAAAGAATCCCAGAGATATTTCCCCCCATCAAATATAAAATTTATCACGGAAAAAAAAAATTTAATATAAGTTTAAACAGGGGCGGGGTGGCCGAATGGGCGTGTGCAGAGCACCGCGAGTTGCCTGGCAACCGGATTACAGATTTGAGAAGATTTAAAAAGTACAATTTCGGGTCCCGGTGCCGGAGGGGATTTTAAATTCCCCGCCCTCACCCCCCGGCCCGGGAAATATAGTCTAAAAGGCGAGGTAGGGAAGAACAAAATATATATATATATATATATATATATATATATATATATATATATATATATATATATATTTAAGTTAAAAAATGTAATAATTTCACAGTGACGCTTTCGCCAAGGAGCCATTGTATATTTGACACCGGAAAAAAAATCACTGTAGTAACAAATCACAGTGATTGTCCCGGAGCTGTCACTGTCGGAGCTGTGACAGAAAATCTCTGTCACACCCCATTACTGGTCACGATATTAATTTTTTTTTATATTACATTTTGAAATTTGTGTGGGGATAAATTTATCCTACATTACTCTTTTCTATAAACAGGTGTTTTTGTAACTTTTTTCGATATTTTTTCCACCATCCAAGGGAGGACGTGACTCCTGGCAGAATTCGCTAGTGCTGTTCACGATAATATTTTTTTTATATTACATTAGAAAATTCATCTATGAGGATGAATGTTTCCTATATTTCTCTTTTCTTTAAATAGGGTTATTTGAAAAAAAAAAAAAAAAAACACCATCCAAGGGAAGGCAGATTTTGCTAGTGCTGGTCACCGTAGTAATTTTTTTTTTAATATTACATTCAGAAATTATTGTATGAGGATAAATTTTCTCTACATTTATCATTTCTTTAAATAGGTGTTTTTGTGTCACTTTTATTGATATTATTTTCCACCATCCAAGGGAGGACAGACCCTCTGGCAGAATTCGCTAGTGCTGGTCACGATAATATTTTTTTTTATATTACATTAGAAAATTCATCTATGAGGATGAATTTTCCTTCTATTTATATTTTCTTTGAATAACTGTTTTTGGAACTTTTTAAAAGAAAAAATTTCCAGCCTCCAGGGGACGGGGGGGGGGGGGGCGCTAGTGCGATTTGACAAGAAGACACATTGAGCCCAAGGACCACATCGGTCTGTAGCGTCTTGGGATTAGAGTATCTACAAACTTATGAAAAATGTCATGACCCAATTGAGTATTTTTCATAATCCTTTTTAATTTTCACTTGTCTATTAAGAGCACATTTTTCGTTAAAATCAACTAACAGGCCACTCAGTTAACATCATCGAATTTACACTTATTGAATGTTCTCAAAAACGGTTCCAAAGACTTTTATTAAATTCATTATAACTATGATGACTGAGTAAATATTATAAACTATACTAAGGAGGGTGAGGAGGGGGGGCTTTCGAGCTGAAGCCTCATCCTCCCCCAAAAAATGATAAAATATAACTATGTTTTATGAAAAAAATTATCTCTAAAAATATTACTGTTCGTCTAATTATATTTAATAGGACTTAAAGAATTATTTAAACGCCATTTCATATAGGTAGTTAGTTTCTTTCTTCCTAAGCACTAACGGATCAAGAATTTAATTTTGGAGGGCTTTAGCCCGAACGATTTTTTTTTTTTTTTGTATTTATGTATTAAGACTAGCTTTACCCGGCCACGCGCTGCTGTGGCTTAGCCTGGCAAAATGAAAAAAAAAAAGAAAATAGAAAGCACATATGAGCAGATTAGTAGCAAAGGACATTTGCCATTTTTAAAAGGTTGGGAAACAAATTTGTAAAATGGCTTCAATTTAAACTAATTCTAATGATTTTTTTTTTCTCATGATTCAAATTGAACATTCATAATCATCTGAAACAGTCTGAGTTGAACTTATAAAACTAAAATAAAAAATTAATAAAAAGAACGTATAATAGTATTGACCTACATAAGGAGAATCATATAACTTCTTCAAATGATAATTTCAATTACTGTAGTAATTATAAAATTTTTTCATTAATCAATAAAAAAATAAAATACTTGCCTACCTTCGGTTGAGGAAGCAAAAGGAAATGGCCTTTTTTTTTAAAAAGAAAGCAGTAAATGTTTAAAACTCTATAACTCTGCAACGAACCGTCCGATTCCGATGATTTTTTTTTTTATTTTGTCGCCAAATCAAGAATTTTTCAAATAAATGTGGGTATTATCAATCAAAAATGCTGTACTTTTTTAGTTATCGTCAAATAAAATATTGAATTCATCGTAACATTTTTCAGCTTGATTTCGGGAAAGTATGTTATGCACATAAATTAAAAGGATTTCAAGGAGAAGACTTTAGCCAAGTTTCGTTAAAATCGGTAAAGCCGTTTTGGTACTACAGTTTATAGCGACACATTTACATTTTTATTTTTTTTACATATATAAAATTATCGTAAGACAGAAGTACTATGCCAGAAATCTTCCCAGAAGTGTACGGAACAACTTCCCAAAGTTTCATGGCGATCGGATGAATGGTTTAGTAATGCACAAAGGACAAACAGACAGACAGACAGACATACATTCATTTTTATATATATACATATATATATATATATATATATATATATATATATATATATATATATATATATATATATATATATATATAGAGATATAGATATTACATGAATGATTAATCTTAAAAAATTCTTTTTAACTAATTAAACTAAAAATTATTTTTTACACATTACTTACACATAATTACTTGGGAAGAAAGAAAGAAACTAATTACCTATATGAAACGGTGTTTAAGTGATTCTTTAAGTCCTATTAAATGTAATTAAACGAACAATAATACTTTTAGAGATTTTTTTTTTTTTTTTTTTTTTTTTTTTTGGTCCTTCCCTTCCTCGCCGTTAAGGCTATACGGGATTTTCCCGGGCCAGGGAGTGTGGGCGGGGATTTAAAAGACTCCCCCGGCACCGGGACGCGAACTCGTGACTATTTTTATCTTCGATTCATATGTCAGGTTGCCAGGCAACGGCGGTGCAGTGCACACGCTTTAGCCCATTCGGCTACCCCGCCCACAATACTTTTAGAGATAATTTTTTTCATAAAACATTGTTATATTTTACCATTTTGGTGGGGGGGGGAGGAGATGAGGGAAGCTTCAGCCTGAACGCCTTCCCTCTCTCCCCCCCCCCGCATATCCGCCTGCCTGTCTTGCGAAGTAATTATCCTAATATATACATATCAAAATGGTTTAATGTACCAAAGTAAATAATAATCTTTAAAACTTCAGAATTAAGGGCAGGAGGTGAAAAGAGGTCTATTTCTACGCCACAGGTCGATTCCTACGATCCACTTTTTCTCTGAGTGAGCTAACGTGTTATACTAATCTTGGTGTATAGTTTTTAATTTAGATATATTCATATAAAAATTATTAGCCAAAATATCGATTTATAACAGTAATCCCTTCAGTCCTTAATAAATACTAGTAGGCACGTGCGAAAAAATCTCACAGCATCTTGTTTTCTGATGCTTAATTATTAAGAAAAAAAAAAATAATGCAATGTATCAAAAGATAAAAAAATCAATTGTTGCTTTATCGATAAATATAAACGACAAAGGAAACAAAAATTATTTTAAATCTTCATTAATGTTTGGAACCAACATGTTTACAAATTTCAATAAGCTATATCTTTGTTAAAAATTGTCCGATTTCGATGATTTTTTTTTTCTTTTTGTAGGGAATTTAGTTAATCTTTTATATTATTATAGGCATAACCAAGGGAAAAGTGTGTAATTTTTTAGTTATTCGCAAATAAAGTTTTCTTTCATAACTTGTTTGCCTGAATTTTCGGGATGATTAGACTATTTTGATTGCCTGAAGGAGAAGGTTGCCATCGAAATTGGTGGCTCAATCTTGAGAGTTGGTGAAGAATTCACGATGAAAAGGCTTGCCGATCAAATACATCATCGATAAATAATATAAACTCCTACTCTCTCGATCATAGAGACCTCAAGTCGACGAAATGAGATATGTATTCAATGACAGTACTATAATTAATGTAAGGTTGTGTGGATGCGAACCCTATGCCTTGCATTATCTCGAAAATAGTACGTTTTGGGGCTTGAAAACGCAGGATCCGATAGTTCCGGAGGAATTTGAGAGTGACAGGAGCTTATATTTGGTACAAAACCGATTTCGAGCCTTACTGAAGTAATATATGTTTAACGAAAAAATACATGGACCTATCGTTAATAATATTTTTATCATACAATCATAAATGAATATTACTATTTCAGGTGGGAACTAAAGTACAACAAGAACTTCTACGTTTGAGCTTTACAGGAAGGGACAAAGAATTTCATCAAGAGGTAATAATATATTTGTTTTAAATATTCAATACTTTTTTTTGTAATTATCATTTATCATATTTTAAAGAAATTTCATGTTTCAAAAATCTTCATCTTTCTGGGTATTTTATTATGCAATTTATTTACATGTATATTAATAAAAAAAATCTATCTTAAGAATAATTACATTGTTTAATTGTGTCCTTACTAAATACTCTTCCACTTTTATATTTAGGTTAATTTATTTATCCAAACAATACATTTCCGGTTTCCGAATTTTGTGCTTTGTGGTTTTATCACTCTCAACCGACAATATTTGGTTTCCGTAAGTATTAGAATATAATAATTTTTTATATTGTAAATAAGTAATTAATTGTAAATTATAACACATATAATAATATGTGTCTAGTTATTTATTATTTATTTTACCCTCATAACTAGTCGAGGGCTTACCTCCATATTAATTGGTTATATATATATAATTTTCCAACAATCACTTTTTGCCCTTTCAAAACCCACACTCATGCAGGATTAAAAACCATTTATTCGAAAAACATTATTCTGGATTCTTCCAAGTACTCATTCTTTTTCTTCTCTTCCTAGATTCTCATGAATCAGACTTACAGCCAGTGCCTCAGCATACCATTTCCATTCGTCTACAACCACGTTATATTTTTCATCTGTTTTACTGACTTCCCTCTCTGTCCTCCATGTCCTTCCAGGTAATAATAATAAAGCTCACTAGCGGATACAGGATTTAATTTTGGGAGGGGGGGCTTCAGCCCGAAAGATATTTTAAAATAAAAATAACGATAATTACTTTGGAAAAAAAGAAAGAAACTAACTACCTGTATGAAATGGTGTTTAAGTGATTCCTAAAGCCCTTTTAATATTAATCATATGAACAATAATACTTTAAGAGATACTTTTTTCATATTTTTTTCGATAAAACATGGTTATATCTTGCCATTTTGGGGGGGAGGGGGGCTTCAGCCCGAAAGCCCCCCTCTCCCCCGTAGATCCGCCCGTGATAAAGCTTAGTGGTTTATAGAAACTGGAAGGTTCTATGGCGATACCACCAATTGATGTCTGCATCCACCACCATACAGATCATCTTTTTTCCTTATTATATGACTGATTTGATGATGCCAGATTGGTTTTTCTAATCCTGCTTCATGTACGACTCTTCCATATCTGCTTACAGTCAAGCACAATTCCCTCTCTCGCTCTCTGATAGTTTACATTATTAGTCCAGTAAAATTAGAGATTGACCTCAACATTCAAAAAATTAAAAATGAAATTTATCAGAAATCGTTTATTACCCTCCCCATAATAACTGGCAAAAAGTCCCAAAGAATCCCACGTCAGGTTTTGATTTGGGGAGGGGAAGAAGGACAGAAAACTGATATTTTTTTAGTTTTTGAGAATATTTAAAAAACTATAATTTTTTTTCGCAAAGATTAAGCAATACAATATTAAAGTACTTTAAAATCTCTATAAAAATGACCTTATTCATTTTTTTTTTTTTTAAATCAACGGTTACGGAGATATTAATAAGGTTATATTTCCATTTTAAGCAAAAATTGCTTCAAACCACATATTTGATGTTGTTCATAGTAGACGATATCTTTTTGAAGTTTAATTAGTTTTTAACATTTTCGACCGTTCAAATTATTATTCAAAGGCTCTTTCTTTAATGATTCTAAAAAGTCATTGGCAACAGAATTATATTCGATATCAATCAATGGGGAATTTCTTGATAATGGTATGAAGTTTATATTGACATAAATTTTATATAATTGGTAATATGTGATAGAAGGCATTAATACTTATAAAAAGTTATCATAAACCATGGTCTGATTACATACAGAAAACCTGGAAATTTTGTAATTTTTTAGTCAACCATGTTTTATGTTGATTAAAAAGCAATAACTAAAAAAATGTTTAATTTAGGTTACAACTAATTACTTCATAGTAAAATAGATTAAATTTACATTAAATTCCAGTAAATTTTGTATTTTTTTAAACCATTCAAAGGAGACTTTTTAACAATTAAACTACGGTAAGTTTAATTTTTCATAAAATAAAGGATCTTCGCGATTTTTTTATGATTCCTCCAACTGTACTGAAGATATCACACTTTCAGAAAAACGTCATTGATTGATGAACTTTAAGTCTATAATAATTAAGTTGAGTTTACATTTTCTCTAATTGAGTAAAAATATTATTAGCACGGTAAAATTGAGAATCGGCCCAAATATTTTTACATCTGTTAAACTCGATTAGGGATGAATCTCAACGTATTCTGTAACAAACCACAACTTAATTAATATAGACTTAAATCTCATCGAGCAAGGATTTTTTTTCTGAAAGTGTGGTATCTTCAGTCCACTTTGGCGTTTACAAAATAAATCACAGAGAATCATTGATTTTATGAAAACCCAAACTTACCGTAGTTTAACTTCTTGAAAGTTCCGTTTAAATGGTTTTAAAAAACCCACAAAATTTACTAGAATTTAATGTAAATTTAATCTAGTTTACTATGAAGTAATTAGTTGTACCCTAAACTAAACATTTTTTGAGTTATTACTTTTTATTCAACATAAAACGTGGTTGGCTTAAAAATGAATGGATTTATATAATTCTGTTGTCAATGCCATTTAAAATTCGCAAAGAAAAAGAAACTTTGAATAATAATTTCAACGGTCGGGAATGTTAAAAAATTAATTAAACTTCAAAAAGGTATACTAAATAAAAGGTCTACTATATGGACAACATCAATTTTGTGGTTTGAAGAATTTTTGTTTAAAATTGATATACAATGAATATAATCTCATAAATATATCCATAACCATTGGTATTATAAAAAAAAATTAATAGAATCATTTTTATAGAAATTTTTGAAGTACTTTATTATTGCACTGAACCACGGGCGGATCTACGGGGGGAGGGCTTTCGGGCTGAAGCCCCCCCCCCCACCCAAAATGGTAAAATATAAGCATGTTTTATCGAAAAAAATATTAAAAAAGTATCTCTTAAAGTATTATTTTTCGTGTAATTACATTTAAAAGGGCCTTAGGAATCACTTAAACACCATTTCATATAGGTAGTTAGTTACTTATATGAAAAAAAAAAGCTTTCGGGCTGAAGCTTCCCCCACCCAAAATGGTAAAATATAAGCATGTTTTATCGAAAAAAATATTTAAAAAGTATCTCTTAAAGTATTATTTTTTGTGTAATTACATTTAAAAGGGCTTTAGGAATCACTTAAACACCATTTCATATAGGTAGTTAGTTTCTTTCTTTTTTTCCAAAGTAATTATCGTTATTTTTATGAAAAAAACAACTTTCGGGCTTAAGCCCCCCAAAAAATAAATCCTGGATCCGCTAGTGCACTGAACAGTCTTTGGGAAAAATCTGATAGTTTTTGAGATATTCTAAAAAAAAATAACAAAATATCAGTTTTCTGTCCTTCCTCCCTCCCCCAATCAAAACTCGACGCAGGATTCTTTGAGACTTTTTATCAGTTATTATGGAGAGGGTAATAAACAGTTTCTGAAAAGATTTATCTTTATTTTTTTAAATGTTGGATTAAGGCTGTTTTTTCCCTAACTTCTTTACTGGACTATATTGTATTCTAAGTTGAAGGTTACACTTGCGTTTATTTCATCTAGTATCAGATGATTTTACTTTATCTTGCACGCATGATCATTGCTTTTCTATTTGGTTCCACTTTCGATTCATTAACTGCTTGTTGCAAGTTATCTTGAAAATAAGCCACTAAGGAAAGTTTTTGATTTTTATATGAAGGTGCTCCAAAGAAGTTTAAGGGTTTAATTTAAAACAAGTGAAATATTTCCTAGCAAACAGTACATTAATTTTTAATAGTTTATTTATTTTGATTTAAAAAACTAACCTTTATTTTCTGTTAACAGCTTATCTCAGGTGGAATCACTTACCTCATAGTTCTTGTCCAGTTTCGTAGCAACCAGAATACAGAAGAATAAACGAAAAATTGATTGTCCTGTATTTATATTTTCACAAGAATTTCTCTCTGATTTTTATCATTGTCATATTTCAATTATTAAAATACATAAGTTTTTGTATTGTGTTCTCGTATTAGTTCATAATTTTGTTTTGAATGGATCGGCTAAATAAATAATAATGTGATTGGATTTTATATAAATAAAACTATTTTATTTATGTAGTATTGCCTCTACTCGCATAGGCGCATACTTGGGTGGCGAACCCTGCGCCCCACCCCAATATTTCAAAGAACAAAATTAAAATCAAAATTAATAACAATTAATCTACAGGAATGAATAACATACACATGTAAACTAAAATTAATTAAGAAAATAGGAAAAATCGACTAGATGTAGAAACAGAAGTATTTTACTACGCCCAATGTTCCTATTATTGAAATTTTAGTTTATATATAAAGATAATTAGATATAGCAACATATCCTACGATATTAAGATTTATTCATGTGCACCCTTCTATCTTAAAATTGTATCACATCCGTGCGAAAAATTCGCAGAAAATTTTGTTTAATGAAGAAATAGCAAAACAATATGGAAATAAGTAGTTCGTATGCATTATGTAAGGAAGGAGTTAATATTTTTTCTTTGTCGATTACAATATTCCATTAAACATAATAGACCAAAATATTTGTACAAATTGCTTTGCTAGGACCTATTTTTAAACACTGACTGGAAAGATAATAAAAGTAATAAAAGGAAAATAATTCCACGATCATGGGATTTTCTAAATTATTAAAAAAATAAAATGTAAGAACAAATAAATGCCTTTAAGAAATAATAAAGTTAATATATCAGCCAGGAAAAAAAGTGTAGTAGACTATTCTACTCCTAAATGCAATATATTTAAAGAGGAAGACATTATTAAGTATACCAAAACTAATGGACTGTATCTTTGTTAATAATTGTCCGATATTTTTTTTCTTTTTGTAGGTAATTTAGTAATCTTTCTAATTATCATTGGTACAATCAAGAAAAAATGCATACTTTTTGAGTTATTCGCAAATAAAGTTTCTTTTCCTCCATAACTTTTTTTCCAGAAATTTCGGGGAGATGGGACTATTTTTCGCATGTGAAGGAGAAGAATATCTTCAAAATGAGTGGTCAATCATTAGGATTTGATGAAGAATTGACGAAGTTATGGCGTACCGACAAAAAAACACCTTTTAGAAATAATATATAGGGTAAATTATTAATAATAGCTCATTACAAAGAGGATGAAATGCTGAACATTTTCTTCGCTTAGATCATGCAGATCTGATTTTTAGTTTCTGAGATTTTTTAATCCATATCTTCCATAAAACTCGTTATTATTTGGTTTATTATGGTTATTACACTACTTTTTTCTTTTTCGCCTCTTTAACTAGGCTTCTCGTTAAGTTAAAATTTTGATTAATAGTCCATTACAAAGAGGATGAAATGCTCAACATTTTCTTCGCTTAGATTATGCAGATCCGATTTCTAGTTTCTGAGATTTTTTAATCCATATGCAATAACACTTCAATTAGTCGACTTACCCGAGTGTTACACATAGAAAATCTGACGGCTCAATCTAATTCACTCTCCCACAAAAAAGTGCAAAACGCACCTGAAAGAAGTTTTCACTTCAAAAAGTGTATGGTATTATAATGTTCGTTTGTTTTACGGTAATTATGTAAATAATCATTCATAATTTTTATATATGACTCTCGAGGCTTTTTTTTATTTTTTTTGTAGGGAGAGGGTGAGAGTCCATCGCCTTCCCCAACCAGTGGTGTTGCCCAAAATCGGTCTTGGTCTTGCACTTTGCAAGATCGAGACCAAGGCCGCCTAACTGTTGCAAGACCAAGACCAGGACTGATGAAAAAAATCGATTTTTTAAATAAAAATTAAGGCAAAATAGTAACTAATACTTGACAATCTTCGTTATTATATGTTAGTCATTGGTTATATATACTTTTGCATTTAACTGCTTTAATTTTTCATTCGGGCTTAATTAGGTTTCTCATATCTAAAAAAAATACAGTAATATCTCTATAGTAATAAGCTAATAAGTAACTGCAAGACTGCGCAAGACAAAGACCATGACCAAGATATCTCGGTCTCGCATTTGGGCAACACTGCCAACCAGAATGGAAAGTCGCCGCTTATGTATCAACTAAAAGTTAATTTTTTTGTCTCTATGGCTGTATACTTTAATGAAATGAATGATTTTGACGCATGGTTAGAAAACTAATTTAAATTTTTTAAAAATCTATAACCTACAATCTGAATTTAGGGAAAAACTTATAGTTAAAATTTAAATTATTTAATTAACATTTAACTTCTAAATTGGTGAAATATTGACTCATTGTAAAATATAATTATAAAATCCGAAAATGAAAACATTTATTTAAAAAAGTAGGAAAAAAAATAAGGTCAAAACTATAAAAAAAGGGCCTTGTCCTCAATCGTAAATGCAATAGTGTTTATATACTGTCATATTAATATACTGTCATGAGAGACGATAAAATACGAAACTTTGTGAATGGCAATTTTTTTACCACAAATGGTCCAAAAATTGTATTAACATCCAAAAAATAAGTATACCTTAAGGTGCGTTTGTTCATTTCACCTAGTATGGAAAATACAATTATCTAACTTAATTAATAGCGAAATTAGTGCTAAGCCAAACTTTTTTCTTATTTCTCTTGTTACTGACAGCAGATGGAACGCATTAAAGACACTAGCTTAGAGAAAAAACATTTAAATATTTGGGTTACCCATAGTTTGTGAAATGTCTAAGCACGCCTTAAGATATTAAAACCTTCTTATGATTACTGTCTTTTTACTATACAATTAAGAATACCTTGTTTTTGAAGAAAATATATGCAGAAAAAGACATAGAATTGTACAAGTTTTAAATTAAAAGACGTAATAGAATTTCCCTAACTCTTAACGTGACCTTGAGATGTATCATGAGAATTCCAAATGCAACTCCAAACATTGGCGCGATCTGTTGTCACTCTCTCACATTACATCAGTGTTTGTTGATTCCTCTTCGTCTTCTGGTAAATTAAGGTTTGTTAACGTTTGTAAATTTATTTACTTTTATTATTTTTGTGTAGCGTATACTTATTGTGTCATATAAATGATTGAGTTTGTCTCTATTATCTAGTTTATATTTTAGTTTTATATTAAGGAAATAATATGATGAATCAAAAACATATCATTAAAAAATAATTACGTTTATATCCGGAAGGAAATGTAGAGTGGAAAAACGTAATAAATTATTTTATATCGTTTCAATCACTTTAGTGCCACTTATTGATTTCTGAAATGTCCATTTCATTAAAATTACTAAAAACAATTCTGTGCCTGAATACAAATGTAAGAATTATCAAATGTTGAAAAAAAAAAAAAGAAATGAAAAAAGAGATTAGTTTAACAATCAGAAAAAAAAGAGAAACTCCCTACCACATATTCTGAAAAATTTCAATCTTACATAATAAAAATTTGTTTTCTTACCAGAATCTTTTCAAAAATTTGTTATCGATGTTTATGATACAAATTAAATAAAACCTACGAAATAATGGGAGCACTATTAAAGAATATTCTTTTTGTAATTTTAATTTTTCCTCTTTGTAATTTTAAAATTTATTTTTTTAATTTTCAAAAGTTTTATACTATCTAATTATGAATAAAAATATTCATGATTCTGTAATCTCTTTGTTTACAAACAACATATTTTCCACAGGCCTGTTGATAGGTGAAAGTTATTTCAACCCATTATGTATTTCATTTTCTTTTACTTTTATATATTTTTATTTATATTTATTATAATTATATTTATATTTACACAATACCTAAAATATGATATTATAGAATAAAATTCATTATATAACTGATATTACAACAGATTACTCATATTTCATGATGGTTTTATATGTTATAAATAAGATAAAAATCGAGACATTTATGGTCTGATATTAATTCTATTAAGACCTCGTTACCTAAGGAATAAGATTATTGATAAAGGGAACGACAGTAAAGAATATTTCTTAAAATACTTACCCTTATCAATTTCAATATTAATTTATTTTTGTCATTATTTTTTTTTAAATTTTCAAAACTTTGATAGTATTATTATTCAGTTGGGAGCTGATAATAGAATATAAATACCTAAATTTTAATTTAATTTAAAAAGAATTAAAATACATAATTCCCAATTATGAATCATTAGTACATACTTTTTATTGTGATCAAGATTATTAAAACTTATTTCAACCATTAATATATTTCTATTTTCATCATTCATGTAAAGTTGGTTTATTTCACCAAATTAGCTATTGTATAATATTCTACTAACTTCATTATATAAATATTAATAATGGATTTCATTAATTTAAATATTTATTTTGTTTCTTTCAGAAAAAAAAATGACTTTGTATAAACTTACTTATTTAGATGCCAAAGGCTTGGGAGAATCCATAAGATTCATTCTCAGTTATTTGGAAAAGGAATTTGAAGATATCCGCCTTCCATTCGAAATATTATCGCAGCTTAGGAAAAGTAAGTTTAAAAAAAGAAATTATATAAACTGATAAAAATTAGTGATATGTTCATATTCAATTAAATCATTGCTACAATTGGTATCAAATTTTCCCTGATGAAAATACATAACCATGGACTGAAATGGAGTAGCATTCTCATTTAAATTTCTTTCTTAAGTTTTATAAAAATGTCTGTTTATTTTATTTTACATTTCAATTTTTTTTTCTAGAATCTCCTATAAAAAAAACAACAACTGTTATTATCAAAGTATTGCTAAACACTTATAATTCTTTAATGTCCAGTTTTTAAAACAGTTATCTGAGTTTTTAATAAGACATTGATCTAACAACTAATCATTGCTATTTTCCTATATTCTCAGTAATGTTTTATGAAATTAACATAAATATATTTATTTAATGCAAACAACCAACTTATAGTCTTGGCCAGAGATTTTGAAACACAATTAATTTTTTTTTAAATATTTAAATAATTTAAAATGTGTTTTAAGAGATGTTATACAGCAAAAACTGTGCTTAAACAAAGAAAAGGTGATTATTATTGTTTCACCAGTTGAATCAAAATGAGGAGGTATCCTCATTGTTCATCAGACATAATAACATATACACATAAATAACACCATGGCAACCTGGGTAATTAGGAGTGTTGCAAGACCTGAATTAAAAAATAATAAAAATTTAAATAATTTAGTTGTGATAAATAAAAATATAGAAATATTTTGCCATCCAATCTTACCATATCTTTTCCTCATTCATACAGCTGTATCCTAAACCATGCAATCTGCGTTTTTTTAAATATTGAAAATGTATGTGTCCAAAAATTAAATTAGGACAAATTAATATAAAATGTTGGGAGATTAAGTTCCAAAGAGGTTGAAAATATGAAATGTGAATAGACTAATTTTGTCAGCCTTTATAATTCACTTTAATATCTAGTTATAAATATAAAGCCCTTAGTGTTCTTCTTAAAGAGATCATACGCTATTTACCATACATATGTTTGATTATTTTAGAAAGATTAATTATTCTTTTTATAATGAACTTGAGAAATGGACCTTACATTAAAAATTTTATCAATTTTTCAGTATACATAAGTTGATCAATGTTTCACGTTTTTATCTCATCTTCAGCATATTTAATGTTGCTAAGAATCCATCCTCTTCATTGCCATTTTGCTGTTAAATTTTGAATAATTTATATTTCGAGGCATGTCTGAATATTCAAATCATTATCACAGGGAAAATTCATACCTCCTTCACTATTTCCAGTTTAATTTTCTACATTATAAGGAGTGCATGAAATCTGGTCATGCCTTAAGGTTTCACATTCTTTGGATAGATACATTTATATTTTTTATACAGTATTTTTATTTAGCTGTGTAATATAAAAAAAAAGCTTAAATATTTTTCCTTAATACTAGTGCCTGAAGTACCCTATGGGAGAGTTCCTTATTTGGAAATAGATGGAGCTGTCATGTACCAGACAACTGCTATATTACGTTTCTTAGCAATTGAAGCTGGTTTGAATGGGAGTAATAATAAGGAAAATTTAAATATTGATATGATTGCCGGGACTGTTGGAGATTTCATTACAGGTACAATAAATGTATAAAGTTAACTTAAATATTTAATATGTACCTAATTTACATTTATATTTTAAATAAATATTTCTACTGATTTAGGATATGTATGTACTCAACATTTCTAATCTATCATTAACCTAATGATAGATTTACTAATGAAGTGATAGTCAGTACGTAACCCATTTCAATCAGAATTTTATTAATTTTACTTCATCGAACAATATTTGACACCTATCCTGGTGTTCATTCCAAAGAGACCGAAATTAAAAGAAACCGATAAAAAAAATTATTTTATATAATTTCATAATAATTTTTTTAGCCTAAGATTATAAATACTAAGATTTATATTTTTTTAATTTCTATAAAATTCATGATTTAAAATTACATTAAAATATAATCTAACTTGTTTTTGTATAACACAAATTTACTTGGCTTACATTTCTTCAAACGTCTTTTGTTTTATTTTTAATTTCTAATATATTTGAGCTCATTTAATATTAATACAAATACATCTTTCTGATGTAAAAAAAAAATATATGGTTATATAATATAGAAATCCAGAATCTTAGAAATACTTAGAAAGCAAAAACAAAAAATTTATTTAATATTATTATATAAATATTTTTTCCAACTCCTAAGACTCATTGGAATGAAGGTGGGAATACGAGTTAAATATTTTTCTAAGTAGGATTACATTTTTTTTTTTTATTGAATAATAATACAATCAGCCACTGTTGGAGGGCTATAAGTATTAAGGCTAGAAGTTCTCATTCATACAGTATGTACAAATAATAAAGAAATAACTATAAATATAAAAAGTAAATAAATAATACTGATAAAAAAATGTAAATCAATAGGAAAAAAATAAATAAATAAAAACTTCTAAACACATTCATACCTATATACAATACATACATTCGCCCAGGAATCTCCGAGCCAGGCTTTTCTCCCCACATGTGGAAGGCAAAGCAGGACTCCAGAGATCCCAGTGCCACTTTTCCAGTCGCATCACTAGCATTAGAAGCCAGTGGAGGCTAAGTAGGATTACTAAAAACAATTTTGTTGGAATTTGTGAATTTTCCTTGTAAGTGCAATTCTTTTAATAACTTTAAAGATTTTTTGTTTAATATTTATTTTGTTCTTTAAAGAAATCCAGAGGTATATTAAGGCAAAAGAACCTGCTGAAAAAGATTACATCAAAGAATGCCTTGTTAAGGAAATTATCCCATTTTATATGGACAAATTTGAAACTCTTATTGCTAAAGAAGGTTATTTAGCAAATGGAAAGGTAAATGATTCAAACTTATTATACCAAGTTTTTACTTCAAAATATGTTAAAAATTTCAATGAATAGGACTTTTTTTTTTTTATTATAAATCATGATTTTTTTATGCTCTATTCAGTATAAGTAATTTTATTTATCACTGATCAGCTTAATCATCAAATTGCTAACAAATTAATCTGATATGCCAACCCACGAAAAATCAACAATCCATTTCTATCTTTCGTAGCCATCTAATAAAATGGGTGTTGTCTGCACAATTTTAAAAATGATCAAAAGATATCTTTATGCATCTAGTTACAATTGTATGTTAGTATTATAAATTTACAAGTAATATTTTTTTACAACTTGTTTTTTATTTATTCATTTGTTTTTTGCAGCTTTCATGGGTTGATATGTATGCTGTTGGTTATTTTGAGTCAATTCCAGGCTTGGTGGGGTTTGAGTTATTTGAAAAATATCCTTCATTTAAAGCCCTCACGAAAAAAATACATTCTCTTCCAGGAGTCAAAGACTGGATTCAGAAAAGACCTGTAGCTAATATTTAATTTACTTTTTCTTCTTCTCTTCATCATCAATCAAATAATATAACAAAAAAATAAACAAATCTCTTATTAAATTTATTTGCATTTTAAAAACAAGCCATGCTTTGTAATAAATATTATTTTATTGTTGTATCTGTTTTTTATTGCCTATAACATCTGAAACAGAGAAGCGATCTTGCAGTGATCTCATCTAGTGACAGCCTAAGTGGCACTATAATACTAGGAGCTGGCCTTAGGATTGGGGGCGCTGACTGGAGGGGCACCCATTGGGGGTGTATATATATATATATATATATTTTTTTTTTTTTTCTTACAAAAAATAATTTTTACAAGAATTTTATAGAAGTGTTCCTGAAGATCGACGGCTCACAGTGAACTGTCTGAGTAATCTGGCAGGACCAAAGTTGGTAAAAAGGAGTTAACTTTTTTTTTGTTCAAAATTATATATAGTTAATTATAAAGAGGAAATTTAATTTTAGGAATGTTTTCTATATATATATATATATATATATATATATATATATATATATATATATATTGTACCAACTTTGGTCCTGCTAGATTGCTCAGACAGTTCACTGTGGGCCATCCATCTTCAGGAACACTTCTATAAAATTCTTGTAAAAATTATTTCTTGTAAGAAATAAAAAAAAAAAATTAAACGTATTGAAATGTTTACGTAAGAGAAATGTTGAATGAAATAAAATTCAAATATTCCATAATATAAAACCGCTTAAGAAATGAATTTATTTTTTTTTAGGAGGGAGATGACGTCATTGCACGATGGGGGGGGAGGCGCCGAATGAGGCCAGCACAGGTTTTTTTATTAGACATGTTTCAACAGTCAAGTTTATGGATGTAATTTTTAGCTCCTATTATTAATGAAGGCTAGAAATGAATAAAAACTTTCATTATAGTTATTACATTACTAAATTAACTTAAGCATATTTCTAGGCAAAATTAGTTCATGTTTTTAGATGTATCTATCTATATTAGTGTCTTGCAGACCAAAATAATTTTTATGATTGGACATAGCCACATAAATCAATTTAATTGCATATATAAAATTAAACACTATTGTGTTCTATAAAAATTGAAAAAGGCAAACAATTGAAAAATTGTTTAAATTAAAATTAAAAGACTCATGATGACCAAGCAGCATAATTTCAAACTTCGAACATACAAGAAAGTCAAAATATTATTAAAATAAAAAATTTTCTATGTGTAAACAATAATTTTTAGTTTTAATTAGTTGAAAAGAAATTTTTAAGATTAAACATTCACGTAATATTACAAATAAATTCAAATGTTATCATTGTCAAGCTAGAACAATGCCGAACTTCATGCATAAAACGATTCATTCATTTCCAGACTTGTTATTAAACCAATAAGTATTACTCCATGAATCGTTGCGTTGTTCTATGAACTATTTTTTGTCAACAGTTCTTGAGAACTGTTGATTTTGACCACTAGCGGATCCAGGATTTAATTTTGGGGGGGCTTCAGCCCGAAAGCTTTTTTTATCATAAAATAACGATAATTACTTTGGAAAATAAGAAAGAAACTAACTACCTGTATGAAATGGTGTTTAAGTGATTCCTAAAGCCCTTTTAAATGTAATTACACGAACAATAATACTTTAAGAGATACTTTTTTAGTATTTTTTTCGATAAAACATGGTTATATTTTGCCATTTTAGGGGGGGGAGGGCTTCAGTCCGAAAGCCCCCCTCCCCGTAGACCCGCCCGTGATTTTGACTAACAAACAGTTCATTTGCGTTTTTCAAAAGCAGCAGAAACGTCTGCCTCTACCTTGCATAAGAGAGAATCTTAGTACGTTTGAGTAGGGATGGATAAGAACTATCGACTATCACCCATCTCTATGTTTTAGCATCCGGAGCGGGCAATATGATGAAGTAGAATTTATTAAAATTTAGGTGAGACCATCTAAAATTAATTCTACAATTTTTCACGAATCTCTTTCTTCCAAATGAACTTAACAAGACGTAAATGAAGAGTGGAAATTTTCGATCAGAGCATAATTTGTTATTAACCTCTCGCTTGCAAATGTAAAGGTTTCCTATATTCAGTACTGAATAAGCTAATCTTCAATTATGGTTAAATATGAAAACGAAATAAAAGCTGATAAAAAATTAAAATATAGTTCAACTATGACGACAAGTAAGTATTAATATAATAAGTTGAATGAGCAATCATAAAAACATTGAAGATTAACAATAATCGATATGTTAATTATTCTAACTCCATAAAATAAATCCCATCAAATCACCTTAACCCTTCGTCGTAAACCAATGACTTGCTATAGTATCCTTTAATAATACCCCACTTATCCCTGTAGAACAAATCCGATACCTTGGACTCCAGCTGGACAAACGTCTCACTTGGAATCCTCATACAAGACTGAAACGACAAGAAACTCCTCGACGTTTCCGCTTACTCCAACACTTACTAGACAAACGCTCTAAACTTCCCATTAATTACAAACGACTCATATACATGACTATAATAAGACCTATTTGGACTTATGGAGTTGAACTGTGGGGCTCCACTAAACCATCAAATTCCTCTCGTACCCAATCTTTACAATCCAAAATCCTTCGTAAAATCCTCAATGCTCCTTACTTTGTCACAAATAAAATTATCCATAAAGACCTCAATGTTCCATATGTTTCCGATTTGGACGAATCCAGATACCTATCCTTCCATAATAAACTTCATAACCATCCGAATCCTCTTGTTTCTAACCTTGCTTCCTCTTCGATTCCTGATAACCCTCTGAGGCGTCTGAAAAGAAGATGGCCTCGTGATCTCCTCATGTAGACAAATTATTAGAGTGCTACCAATGGGTAGTTTCTCAACAAGCGTGTTTCATGTTATTTTATTCCTCTGTACACATTTACTTGATGTATTCATACTAATACAGTTGTAAATATCATAATAAAAGTTAAAAAAAAAAACTCCATAAAACTTCTTCCACTCAGTTATGGAAGGATAGGTATCTGGATTCGTCCAAATCGGAAACATATGGAACATTGAGGTCTTTATGGATAATTTTATTTGTGACAAAGTAAGGAGCATTGAGGATTTTACGAAGGATTTTGGATTGTAAGGATTGGATACGAGAGGAATTCGATGGTTTAGTGGAGCCCCACAGTTCAACTCCATAAGTCCAAATAGGTCTTGTTACAGTCATGTATATGAGTCGTTTGTAATTAATGGGAAGTTTAGAGTGTTTGTCTAGTAAGTGTTGGAGTAAGCGGAAACGTCGAGGAGTTTCTTGTCGTTTCAGTCTTGTATGAGGATTCCAAGTGAGACGTTTGTCCAGCTGGAGTCCAAGGTATCGGATTTGTTCTACAGGGATAAGTGGGGTATTATTAAAGGATACTATAGGGCAGCAAGTCATTGGTTTACGACGAAGGGTAAAGGTGATTTGATGGGATTTATTTTATGGAGTTAAAATAATTAACATATCGATTATTGTTAATCTTCAATGTTTTTATGATTGCTCATTCAACTTATTATATTAATACTTGTCGTCATAGTTGAACTATATTTTAATTTTTTATCAGCTTTTATTTTGTTTTCTTATTTATCCATAACTGAATATTTGTTTATTCAGTACTGAATATAGGAAACCTTTACATTTATTTTACACTAATAAAATTTAGGAACAATAACCGTTTTAATGAACGAAAAATACATTTATTTTACAGATTCGACAGTTGAAGTTAAACAAAGGTATAGGTTGCTCAATTAAAGCATGTAATCTTGAAGTGAAGTGCTGGAAGTCGTTTGGTGCAACATGAGAGGAAATACGAGGTCAGCAAATTCCGTATAACTGGGTAAGATTACCTTGCTTATGCAGAACTTATTTATATATTGGTCGTAAGGATCTTCTGACTCCATCTTGTAGTCCCTCTTGAGAAAATGCTTCCAAACCGCTGGATCCTTTTTGTACATATGCAACCTGTGGCAAGTGGCAGTTAAATGGACGAAGTCTTTTGCTGAAACGAATCTAAATAGTACCCTTTTAAGTTCGTCAGGTATACCCAAGAGGCTTGGATTGAACTCGTTGGCCGCATTCAGGACCAAATCCTTTTCCTTCTGAAAGAACCTCCGGACAATCTTTGCTAGTAGAGGCAAGTTGTTAAATCGTTCAGAAAGAGAAAACTGGAATGGGAATAACCACTGCTGTGGTACGATTGGTTCAGCGGTAGTAGACCTAAGAACCTCGTTCTTTCTCAAAGTAACGAGATTCACTAAAAGAACGTTCCCAAGAACGGGTACAACCAAGAGAACGAATCGTTCATTTTTTAAATTTGCTAAGAACAGGTCAACTGTGTACAGCCTTCTAGATATATCCCTCCATTTAGGCGCGTAATTCAATTCTCTGGAAGCCCGAATGTCAAAATTCGTAGAATCCGAACGATCCAGACGAAAACCGCATTCTAAAGCCACAGTGAGTAACACGCACAAAATGTAATCATTTTCCAAGTTGAAAATTTCCAAAATATTTTTGTCGACTTTTAAAAAATTTTCCCTTTCTGCAATAACATTTTCTAGAAGACACTTAAAATGATAAGGGATATTTAATTTATTACTTTCTTCCAAGCGAAGAAGATTTTCCATCTTAAATTCAATCAAAACAGTATGACTAAGAATTTATCTATATCATAATGGACTTGTCATATATGATATTAAAAAAAAGAAATCTAATCTGATGTTTGTGGTTTATTTTAGGTTAGTCCAACTTAACCAAAATCATCTGAGATCTCTCATATGTAATTTTATTAGTTCGTAATCTGGGATACATCAGAAGGTTTAAAGGGGACCCTACACGGTCAATGGGAATTGCACTAATGACGTTCCGAATTGTCGTGTAAGGTAGTGAATGAAGTACTGATGGTGGTGCGCTGCGGATTTCCGAACATCCGGAAATCAAAGGTTCATTCACGAGAAGTGGGGGGGGGGACAGAGGTAAAAGTATTGGGGAGACTAACCTTACTACTGGATAGATTAGTTTACCTAGGTCTCGTTATTAAGTAAATAATTTCATAAAAGTAAATAGTTGTTTATATCCCTAGTCTATATTATTATTAACCATTTTCAACTATTTTTTCTTTAAATAGTCAAGTAGGCAATAAATTGGAAAGAAAAAAAAAGTGGAAACTTCACATAAGTAATGATCAGTAATGATTGAACGTGTAAGGGTCTTCATGATCAAAGCGATAGCGGGCAATCTTGGAACTTCTTGTGACGTTCATTCATGAATTACCGTGTAGGGTCTGCTTAATGGCGCAACTTCCGCTATCAAAATTTATGAGGGGGCACATTTCGATGGGGTTATGCATTTTCAAAATGAAAAGATTCAAATCAAAAGACAACTAGAAGCACTAGCGGATCCAGGATTTAATTTTTTTTGGGGGGGGGGGCTTCAGCCCGGAAGCTTTTTTTTTCATATATATAACGATAATTACGTTGGAAAAACAGAGATACTAACTACCTATATGAAATGGTGTTTAAGTGATTCTTGAAGCCCTACTAAATGTAATTAAACGAGCAATAATACTTTAAGACATAATTTTTTAATATTTTTTACCATAAAACATGGTTACATTTTACCATTTTGGGGGGGGCTTCAGCCCGAAAGCCCCCCTCCCCGTAAATCCGCCTGTGACTGGAAGCATGGAACAAGATGTGTAATTTTATATAATCTACGAATATTTAAATTCTACTTTCGATTCCACTGTTTTTAAGAATAAGAGAAGAATAAAATATCTGGTCAATATTATTGAAAGGGTTTTATATCACTCATGGAGGGAGGGTTCATTATATTGAGTCTATATTATATAAGTTAAAATTTTGCTTCCACTAAAGGTTTCCAAGGAGGTAATCTTTCTTTTTTGTGAAAATGAATATTAATGAATTTCCTATAACTTTAATTGTCTTGGCTTATTAAAAAATAAGAGAAAAAAAGATGATAAAGAAATACACAGGTCAAAAAGTAGTAAATTTTATATATAAAAAAAAAAAAAAAAATCAAATTTCGAAATAATTAAATGTCATAAAATATTGCCATTTTGTTTTTGTTTTTAAATTAAGGAGGGGGGGGGAGGGTATTTCCTTTCCCTATACCAAAAAAGTATCACCCCATCTACCCAAACATATTGCCACTTTATCTTTTAAAATTTTTTTGGGGGGAGGAGGTTCAACTCCCCTTCTCCCCCAAAAAAGTATCCTTCACCAATCAAAAAAAGGTCCTAAAGTGGATTCCTACCTTTTGTATGACCGTATGATCTACGATAATATATTGATGGAAATATTGCTCTAATCTTCTCTTGAACACATTGTTTGAAGAGTTACATAGTTTCGAGACCTCAAATTTTCTTGTTTTCAGGTAGTACTATAAAAGAAATAATCAAAGATTGAAATCATGAGATATTTGCATGCCAGCCTTCAAACCATGAATGAATTTCAGTTGGGAGGATATTTTATCAATGAATCATAAAGATTTTTTTTTAAGCTCATGGCTATTTTTTTTTTTCCTACCCTCCAGGAATTTCTTGATTACAAAATACAATATATATATATATATATATATATATATATATATATATATATATATATATATATATATATATATATATATATATATAAATGTATATATACATAAATTTACTATTTCCTTTTATTGCCCATGGCTATTTTTATCGATACTACATATTTATAGTCTGTACTATATATTTATTTAACAGGAGTTAAGCAAAAAACGAACTAATTTGATATTAAAATACATCTGTTTCTTCACTGTCTTTATTTATGAATGGAATTTTATTTTTTAATTCAAATTTTAATACGTAAAGGTGTGTTTTGAAATTTCACTAACTATGTGAAAAACTGATATCTAAATGGTTGTTTACCTATGCTAGTGTTTTGTTTTTGATGTTTTTCATCTGTTGTTGGTAACAAGAAAAATAAAAAAAAGTTTGGTTAAGCACTAATGTCGCTGTTAGTTAAGTTAGATAATTATGTTTCACATAGTTTGTTAAATGTCTAAACACATCTTAATAAATTTAATAGTAAATAGTTTAAACTGTATAAATTACGAAATAGTACTGTGTATTAAATATTGACAAGAATCAAAATGAAGTATATAAATAATAAAAATTATCGATATAAAAAGGACCTGGCAATTATATAACACAAACTTTTGCAATTATATTTTTATAAATAAAGTTTACATTTGTTTTACAATTTTATTTTTAAGTGTGTTATTATTAAAAAGCAAAATTAAAATCGTTAACATGATTTTTAACAAATTGTTTTAATATTTATTTAGTTTTATAAATAAATAATCCTAAATTTAAACTCATTTTACTTCTTGACATATTATATTAAAAGAAAAAAAAAATGAAAAGAACTTTTAAAATATGTGAATTGAGCTAATAAGCAAAGCTATGTGTGTATATATATATATATATATATATAAAAATATGAGTTCTGCGGTCTCCATGACATTGTAACTGATACATAAAGGATTATCATAACTTAATGTTTATACTTAAAATAATAATTATACTTATAATCATATTATATAATTATACTATATTATGAAAAAGGTGACTAAAAAATAATCGTTCAACAATTATTTATTTTTTTCCAAGATGGATATTTATGACATCAATTAAAATAATCATTTTGTTTTAACTACACATAAATAGGTTAACCTAAAATATCTTGAGATCTCACGTGTACAACTGAATCAATTAAAAATATATATATATATTTATATATATGATTATATAACTGTATCGAACTAGTTATTTTAATTTTTTAAAAAATCATACATTTTCCATACTTGTAAAAAACAAAAGAATTTAATGATATAACAGTTATATTGAGCCAATTACGTACATATTTATACATATAAATAATTAGAAAACAAAATTCAGATTTATTCAATATTAAAATATAATTTATCGAATAGTCAATTCATAGAATTAAAAATTTTAAAACCAAAAGAAAAAATAATAATAAAAATGAAACTATAAGAATTTTTAGACGAATAACATTAGTAAATTTTTGGAGAAACACCAAAATATATTACAAATAAGAAAACAAAAAAAGGCAGACTTGAAGAAGACATCCATACCGTCAAAACACACGCATTCATCATAAGATTTGCACCAACAAAAGACAATGAAATATTTACAATTATATAAAATACAGTAAAAGTGGTAATGGAAAAGCTTAACAGAATTTCCACCTATTACCACACTCATTACACAGTACGAATGTTGTCATAGGTTCATCAGCACTTCTTGTTTGTACCTGGAAAAAAAAAAAAAAATTAACTTCAAAATGAAAATAAAACATAATAACTCAAAACAAATAAATTAAGACTACCCAAAAGGCGGCTTTACATATTTCCCAAATGGAAAAAAATAATACCGTAGTAAAAAAAAAAAAAACAAATGTGGTGGCATGAAACTTTGTTTGTTATAGAGAAATATTTTGGTTTAAAATGTTGAAAATATGATTTATTTGTACATAAAAGAATAAATAAAAAGCAATAACAAAGCAGAGTATAAATCCAAATATCTGTTGAAATTTCGAGGAATATCAGCGTTTATGTGGCACTTTCTGTAAGCTCTCTAAATTCAAAACAGTAATCTCTCAATCAATTTTTATTTATTATTTACCAGGGGTATGAATATGAAATCCCAAGTCGTCCATAGATGACGCTAGTTGATAATGTAGATGCTTTACATCTTATGAAAATTGACTCAATGACTTGTTCACAAAAAATTACAAAAAGTTAATTTGACATTCAGAAAGTGCAAGATGGATGGGGGAAATGTAGAGATGTTTTTAAACATTTCTATGCCATAAATCTGTATTTTTTAAATGAAAATTTCTGTTTCAAATTTAAAAACCAATGAATGAAAAATTAGCTAATTTTTAAAATATTGTCAAAAATTATTAAATTAATAACTTGAATTTAATTTTAATTTATGTAAAAAAATAACAGCTTTAAAATTCAATACTACAATCTTCAGTCTCTATTTTAAAAGTTAATCTAATGAAGGTTTAATAAAAGAAAGTAACATCACATAAACCAATGCTGCTAAACTAAAATAATAAATCCAAAGAGATATGAATTAGCATAGAAACTTACCTGGTTATAGGTACAATTCCTCTTCTTACATTTGGCACACTTGAGCAAGTCTGTCTTAGTACCCTGTACCGTTGCCAACTGAGCGTCATCAATGGATTCTTTCACAAACTTGTTCCTAAGTGCTTTCATTTCATCACTGGCCATTTCCTAAAATAGTAATAATAATTTTTAAAAAACAACAAACCAAGGTGTGTGTTTTAAACTACACGGTAGAAGTGAAAACATCAAAAAGACAAAATTAATAATATGAAATATAAATTACAAACAGCTCATTATAAAGAAGATGAAATGCGTAACATATCCCTTGCTTACAGTATGCAGGTCTGATTTTTAGTTTCTAAGATATTTTAATTCATATCCTCAACAAAACTCGTTATCATTTGGTTTTTGACAATATTTTTTCCCTTTTCGCCTCTTAAACGCGATGCTGCATTACGATACAATTTTGAATAATAGCTCATTACGAAAAGGATGAAATGATGAACATTTCCCTCACTAACAATATGCAGGTCTAATTTTTAGTTTATGAGATTTTTAATCCATATCCAAAAACACGTTAATTAGTCGACTCCAGCCAACTTTACCTAAGTCAATGCTTTAAAAATGTAATAAAAGAATGTGATTAAAAAAAGAATTTTTATAAAACATTAATAATATATAGATTAAATATAATAATATAGATTAAATCTCACAAAAAATATGGATAACCTAAAGAAGGTTTATCATTAAAATATTTAATATGAATTGGAGAAACCATTATCAAGTACAGTCAACTGTAAATCTTGTTCTGTGGTTTGTTATGAATCAGCGACATAAGCAACAAAATATAGTACAAATGTAAGACTGTAAACGAATCATAGGTGCACCCAAGCAATATATCTTAATATTATTAAAATTGGAAAGAACGGCCATTACGAAGTTTTTAAAGCTCCAGAAGACCTATAGCACTTACTGTTTAGTTGCAGAAAATATAAAACAGAATATGAATTAGCACCGGGAGATAACTATTTAATATTGCTAACAACTTAAATACAGAAAATATCAAGAAAATTATTTATTTTTTTCTTCAAAAATACACAGTGTATTATTTAGTGAAGTAGAAATCTGAAGAAATCTTTTATTTATATGTGTACACATATTTCTTTAAAAATGTATATTGAGCAGATAGGATTTGATGATCAATCTTGAGGGTCACTGGTAATAATAAATAAATTAAAAAATATATATATAAAAGTAATTTTACAAACTCACCTAAATTTCTTTGTTATATTCTGGACAAAATTTCTCTAATATGTAATGAAAGTGATCGGGATAGTTAGCACAAGATTAGCATTAATAGAAAAATAGCAACGGAATAGCTTTAATAAGTACTAAAACTAAAAAAATAAATAAATTGTACTTAATGCAAACTAATTTTTAGTGAAGTAATGTATATCCACTAAGGTACTCTACAGCTATAAGCAACAAATGTAAGACTGTATTGATGTAGAGATGGTTGACCGTTGATATAATATGAGAAGGAGATGATATCAGAGATATAGTGGGTGATATAGTCACCCACTATATCTCTGATATCATCTTTTATTTCTGTATCTGACAACTTCTTCTTATTTTATATCTACTTATATTTAATTTTTATTCTCAACATGTTTTGTATCTTTTGTAGCCCTGAAGACGACCTGCAAAGTGGGTAGAAACGTCGGCAAAATTAAAATAAAATAATTACTATATTTTAATTTAGTATTTATCTGACCGCACCCCCGACTAACTCCTTCTCGTAAGACTGTATTGTATACCATAGTATCTATATAGTATCAAGACTGCATTGACTGTATCCACTAAGGCAGCGGTTGGCAAACTTATTAGCCAAATCTGCTTGTTTAGTAAACTTTTATTACACCAAATAAGTAGTACACTAAATAAAACTAAATTCCATACTTAATAAATATTTATTAATGCGAACAATGTGCTTGCATCTCCCTGGAAAGTTTGAGTAAGTCAGGTTCGTATGTTGTTTTTAATTTTAAGCATGATTCCAAGTGCTCATAAATAAGACGACTTCTCAGTTTACTCTTGATAATGTTCATGCTTGAAAAAGATTGTTCGCACAGTGTGTTCACAGTATTGATTCCCTCAGAATTTTAGAAATAATTTGTTTAAGATAAAGATTGAGATTTCTCAGATGAATAGACAATGAAGTACCACCATATATAATCATTGGCCTTTTAAATCTTCTCTCTTTCCATTTACTTTCCCAAATGACTGATTCCCTCAGAACCATAAGAATATTCCCTTCTTCCTTTGATATCATCGAGTCTCTTTCAAATATCTATCCATAAAATATCCGGAGTAGTTCAATTCTAGTCACATAGACTATGGCAGCTCTCTACAACAACCATCTCAAACACATTGTAAATATTATTCCAATATTCTTGTAACCTCACTTCAATCACTCTTTTAATTGTAATTCTTTTGATACAACATAAGAATAGGGGTTCCCGGTGAGAATCAGCTCTTTGGACATGACCTCTAGCAGTTATATCAAACTAGAGGAAATTCAGCATAGATTAAAAATAGGAAGGTTTATTGGTGTAAATAAAGATAATTTTATTTAAAGTGTATCCTTTATAGAGTTATCCTCATTTTATCTATAGGTTTGAGAATGAGCATTAACTCTTCATCCTGGTGGCAGCGATTTTATGTTTCTCATTGAAATCTAACCATTTTCACTGTACTAATATGACAGTATGTAATGTGAAATATAACTTTGACATACAATAATTTAAGTTTTTATGGCCAACCTTGAAGTAAAAATAAAGTAGCTTTATATGCAAACAACAAATCCTAAGGGGAAAACTGACTGATTGTTTGTATTTTAACATTTTTAAAGAAATTAATTACGATAATAATAGGACATCTATTGCAAGAAATCAGAATAAAACAAAAAACTTTCACAGACACCCATTTTAAAAATACTATCTTTATTAAAGAAAATTGCTTTATACAGTAAAATTTCTGATTTTTAACATTTTAAATTGAGAACATGGAAACAATAAACGAAAAATAAATTTAAAAAGTTGTAATGTAGTGGAAATAAAATTTTCCAGTTATAATTAGCCATTTATGTTTCCACATTTATTTTGAACACGGAAAATAATATTCTTTAAACTTAAAATAATCCTTCAAATTTATTGACTCATTATGAAAGATATACCACATTAAGTTCATCAAGTTTTGGTTTATTATTTTCAATAATGAACTATTGTAATCGTCCAAAAAATCCAAAAACTTAACTCCCTCCCCTCAAAATTTGAGGTTTTACGTTTCAGGATACATAGAACTCAAAAATTGAAAAAAAAAAATATTGTCTGTCCGGCGTCCGCGCATTGTCTCCTAGACTACTGGATCGATTTTTTTTCAAATTTGGAATCAAAGTCAGAGGTCACCCAAGGATGACCCTCCTACCTCAACATTACTACTCGCCCTTTCCTATCCAGATGGCGGTCGAGAAACCTGTGTTGCTATAGACGAATGCACCTTCTCGATGCTTTTTAAATTTATCTATAAAATATATTTCAATGAAAATAAGCTGGAAAAAAAATTACGAGGGATGGTAAAATTAGATTTTCGAATAAATCAAATATAATTTGAATATACACTTCTTTGTTAATATTGTATGATTATTTAAAAGTTTATGAAATTTCCTAAAAACAAAAAAAAAATGTTAAAATCGGACAATTTGAAGGAGCAAAGATATCGTCTCTAAATATTTTTTATATGTTCTACTGCAAAGGTTATATTCTGTCTTTTAGTTTTTGATTTTTGAAAGTGTTACTGAAGTAATGCTATTTTGTTTTTTTTTAGCAAATTATTAATGATGAAAAAAAAAAATGTTTAGGCCAATAATAGGAATCACTTTTTATTTATTTTTCTTTGTCGCTAGGAAGGTAATGTCACTTTAGATGTATAATTGTTTGGAAATAATAAACCATTGTAAAATAAATTTCAGCGTTTTCTTTCTATTATTCCTATTTTTATTAATGTAGCATTTTATTATTACATATTTGAGTTTCCATATTTGTAAATTGGAAAAATAAACATAATTTATATATATTATCTTAATTTCTATCTATCGTTTAAAATTGATATTAGATATTATACATATAATGATCCTGAAGGTAAATCATCACATCAAATGCAAGGGATGACCTAAAGCTGGCATCGTGTAACTATTAAAACTGTCCATAAGAATATATAATTGAATTGACATTTTTATCTTCAGATATAAAATAATAAACTATTTTATATATATCAAAAAAAAGGTTACCTCTGCAGTCATTACAGCAAGTTTTTGTGCAGATATAGCTCCAGCAAGGAAATTGGACCGTAACTGGGGGTTTTTACCGTCCTTCAGGTTAGCTACTCGAGACCTCACCCTGTTTTTGTATCTTGAGTCAGTGTTTTTGAACTCTTGGAAAATGGCTTCTTCCAACTCTTCAGCCAAATCTTCCACGGGAGCACAGCCTTCCTGTTCAGCTTGAATCATAAAATAAAGTTCTTAATAGAAATATAATAAAAATGATTCATTTAAATCATAAAATTATGCATACAGTCAAACCCTAACTAACACGAATGATACCTTCCTTGTTATATTTAAAAAAAAGAAGAAAAATTGAGCTAAGTGGGATTTTTTTTACTACCCTTCTCTACCTAATAGGCTCATTGTTTTAATTTGGATTACTTTTTCATTTAAAAATATGCCAAATATAAACATAATCTATGAACGAAGGTTTGGATGAATAAATATTCATAATATATAATCACCAAAATAGCATTTAATTTTGAAATTTAATGTTTGTAAATAAGAAATAGTTTATATAAATAATTTACATATTTACTTCTCTTGATTTTTATATAATTTTAATTTGTACCTATTTGTTTTTCCTGTAATAAATTTACTTCTGTGATACCAACACTTGTCTATAACAGTTATCAATTCAATTTCTGATGACAATGATTTAAATTTCAATTTACACACTTAATCAGCACAAATTTTCATGTTTTAACAGGAAAGGACTGTTCGAACATAAGAGTTAAATTAAATTAAAATTTAAAAAGAAAAGAGTTCTCTAGAAAATTTCTGAGTTAAACAAGACTCTATTAAAAATAATGCATAATAGATATGGGCAGTACTCACTTACTTTCATGATGAGTACTTTTATTAAGAAAAAGTAAAAAGTAGTTTCTGTATTCAACTCGACCTTTGCGAGTACTAAGAGTACTCAGGCTGCATTAATCATAGTAATTTAAGTACAGAAAGTATTCGTGGTGTTATATCCGATTACAGAACCTACTCAGGCAAATTCCTCTGAGTACTTTTTATTTTTCAACTACTATATCATTATTATGGATATAAGTATTTTCTTTTAATTCCTTAAATAATGGTGTCCATATTGGAGTTATGTAAGACCCACTTAATCAATATTAGGGTCCACTATTATGTTGTCGGGGGAGCTTTTTGTGAAAATACTGTCAGATTTAAGAAAGAGCGCAACTACGTATGAAGTTTTTGGATTTAATTGATATTAGGGTCCACAAAGGAAAGAGAGATCTAATAAAGGCTCATATATTTCTTTTGGCAAATAGACAACATTATTTCTGTTGGAAGTTCTAACAATCTATTCGACGCTAAATGAATATTCAGCAATTACGATAATAGATCAAAGATTGCCGTACAATCCTAAATAACCTTGCTCAGCACAATAACGTAACTGCTGAGTGGGTTTCAGGACATTCTGGCGTTGTGGGCAATAATAAGGCTCATGAAAAAGCGAGTTAAGACTCTGTCTGTACTCCCATTACTGTTGAACTAGTCTGTAGAATAGCTCTATGGAAATTTATGATAAAAAAAATCTGGTGCGCGCATCACACAACTTTCACTTACCGCCCTACTTTCAACATATAAATTATTTTCTAACAAAGTTGGGCTATTAAAAAGTTTTTGAAGTACATTTTTAATGGGATTAAACCTTAAATCAAACCTGTAAAAACTCATTAAGACCATTAAAATAACACAAAACCTGTTTACAATATTGATGGTAAGCAATAAAAACCTCGTAACTCCTTCCGTTTCTTTAGACCACGTAACTCCAGTTTCTGAGCTCTATATGTAAAGAGAGATTTGAAAGTACATCTCATCAATCTCATCAAAGTACATAGTTAATCTATAAACGAGTAAGGATTGTACTACATAGTAAAACTTATAGCAAATAAATCTGAAAAGCATTATACATGTTATAAAATTATCTTTCTATTGTAAAATTTACTAAAATGTGGTTACGAGGATTTCATTGCCTACTATCGATAGGTCAAAAATTGTCACAGAAATTGTAAGTGAATAATATTGTGATTTCACAAAGGGAAAATTCATTAATTTACTCACTAATTTGATTTTCTATAATGTTACATAATGATTTTTCGGAATAAACAGGCGATGTATATATGCGTAATTATTTGTATATAATATCGGATCTAAATTTATAAAACTACAGCATGTGTATTATTTAAGGTTATAAAAATAAAATATGAACTCGTCCATAAAATATTTTTATATTTCACACAAGTACATTAAAATAGTTTTTAATCAATGTCATTGCCTTGATTAGATGGACTATATATACTTTTTACAAATTATATATATTTTTTTAAAGTTTACATCTAATTAAGAAATTTTATTTAACTTCCATAGAAACATCTCGTCTCTGTTAAATAGTTTAGTTTTCAGAAATTATTATTTAAAATTTTTTCATTACCCTTCATTACTTTTTATGACTTTGAATGTTAGATATTATTTTTCTAAAATCCTCAGCTTTTTAACAATATATTATACATATATATTCTGAATATTATTTCATTAAACATTTTTCATTTTTTCCTCCTTTAGTCAATTATCAAATTCTTTCATAGTTTATATTCAGCCATTTTTTATTGCTAGTGTCATGAGACACAGTTAATTATTTAAAACTAGTATGCCCGAGTGAAAAATTCGCACAGCATATTATTAAGTGATCAAATGACAATTAATAAAATAATGCAACGTATCATAAGATAATGAAATCAATTGTTACTTTCTCGATAAATATAATTGAGAAAGGAAACAAAAATAAACTTCATTAATGTTTGGAACCAACATGTTAACAAATTTCAATTGCTAAAAATTGTCCGATTTCGATGATTTTTTTTTCCTTTTGTAGGGAATTTAGTAATCTTTTATATAATCATGGACATAACCAAGAGAAAAGTGTGTAATATTTGAGTTATTCGCAAATAAAGTTTCTTTTCTTTCATAATATTTTTGGCTAAATTTTCAGGGAGATTGGACTATTTTGCCCGCCTGAAGGAAAAGGAGGCCTTCAAAATTGGTGGCTTAATCTTGGGATTTGGTGAAGAATTAACGATGATGTGACTTACCGACAAAAAGCACCTTCGATAAATAATATAAACTCCTCCTCTCTCGATCATAGGGACCTCAAATCGACGAAATAAGACATGAATTTAATGACACAGTATTACAATTAACATAAGGTTGTATGGATGCGAACTCTTTGCCTGGCGTTATCTCGAAAATAGTACATTTTTGGGCTTAAGAACGTAGGATGCGATAGTTCCGAAGGTCTTGCTGTACGCATCAAAATCTTCAAAGCCCAATTTGCCCCGTATCGATCTACACATAACACTTTCCAGTATTGAAGTCTAGCACAATGTTTGTATCGATTTTATTTATTTTAGAAAAAAAAAAAAAAAAAAAAAAAAATCGGAGAGAATACGATTCGCTAACCCCCGTGAAATTCTAAACCCAACGGTATCCCATTCATGGTATTTGAGAATGAAAGGAGCTTATATCTGGTACAAAACCGATTTTGAGCTTTACTGTAATAATATATGTGGGAAAAAACCAAATTAAAGGTATTTAAGAGGAAGAAAATTTGAAAATGTAGCATTTAAGCCAGGTTAGTGAAATTAATGAGAATTAAACTGTCTTGATATTAAGGACCATTTAATTATACATTGATATACGCAGTTTCTGGTTTTCCCAGTTCATACTTTTGTTTTTGAGCTAGATTGTAAACATACATGCAGTACTATTTTACACAAAATGAACAGGGCTTCCCTTAGTAACAAAGTTACAGCAATCTATACAAGTCACTACAAACTGAATTACTTTATGTTCGAATTCAGGTTGTCGGTATAACCTCAATGGAATGAATATGCCTCACACATCACCAGTTAGCATGACAGGTTCAGAGGGCTTAGGGTTAGGTAATTCGCAGTAGACCAACTGATAGGTCCAATGAACTGCGAGCTTATCAATCCAACAAGTCTTCTGCAGTTTCTTAACGCTATCAAATAAAAGTTTTATAGTAAAAAGTTGATAGATTATGGCACACAACAGGCCTGATAAGACTATATTGCAATATGCCATAAAAGAAAAATAATAATAAATAAATCATATATTTTCTTCAATTAATTAATTTTTTTTTAAACAAAATTTCAATTGAAAGTTTTTTTTTATATTATTTTAAAATCTGAAGTTAAAACGTAAAAAACAAAGGCATGCCAATAGTATTCGTTTGGGTATCAGCCCATTTAGCAAGAAGTGAAGAAGAAACAGCGGAGATAAGTTTAAAGAAAGTTACCTTAGAAGACTGAATACACCAAGCAAAAAAAAGACTACTAACAGAATGGGAGAAAGAATATAAAATGACAGAAATAAAACCTAATTGAAACAAATGGCTCACTAGCTACAGAAGTTCAAGGAGAGAAGTTATGCTTTGCTGACTAAGGATAGGACACTGCCTGTTTACACATGGCGACCTTCTGAGAGGACTCTAAAGCGCCCACATGTGAAAAATGTAATAACGTTCCACAAACAGTAAAACACTTATTGGAAGAATGTTCTAAATTTGAAAGTTATAGACGAAAAACGGGCTTAGCCAGAACATTAACAGAAATCCTTCAAGATACTGAAGAAACAGTCAATACTTTATTTGAATTTTTGAAGTTGATACAATATCACAAAAGAACATAAATCATAGTCAAACACCAATGACCCTTGAGGGTAGAGGCCCGAAAGAGAGAGAGAGAAAAAAAAACAACAACTGAAATTTTATACAAATAAATAAATATTACCATAAATTGTAATGTGCCTATATTAAAGCAAAATAAAGTTACTCCGCCATATTGATAAAGTGCTATCTAAACTCATCACTTTATCAGAAGCTACCTTTCCTGGGCTTTTTTTTTTTATTTATTAACGAAACAAAAATGTAGAACATTTGATTAAATTTTCAATCTGCAAATTTCTTTGCAATGAGCAAATTTTTTGGCAGCTTTACAGTTTCCCATCACGTCCGGGATATAAATCAGATCAGCAGGTCTCTTGGCCAACGCCTACGTAATCTTCGTAGTGGGCTGTACGGGTTTCTTGTACGATGAAGAATTTCTGTCAGGGGATTCATGTTGGACGTCAGTCTTTGGTGAAAGTTATTGTATCTCTCCTTTGCAGTATCTAAAATTGTAGGTACGTTTAAGTCTTTATGTAGTGTATCATTTGCGACATAAAACGGTGTGTCAACTATCCTTCGCAACATTTTTGACTGAAAGGACTGAACTTTTTTAATGTTGGAAGTTTTAGCAGAACCCCACAGTTCTATGCCGTAAATCCAAATAGGTTTAAGTAAAACTTTATAAAGGGTTAGTTTGTTAGTTAAAGATAATTTTGAACGTCTGTCAAGTAATCTGGATAAAAGACCGTATCGTCTGTTTAATTCTATTCGTTTTTGTCTGATGTGAGTCCTCCAAGTAAGTCTTTTGTCCAGGTAAAAACCTAAATACCTTATTACGTCTGATGTTGTAATTTTAATGTTATTAAAATATATTTCAGGTGAAGGTTTATGGTTAAGAGTGAATACCACATGCAAAGTTTTTTTTTCATTCATCTTAATATTCCACCTTGTGGCCCAATCTGCAATATCGTTCAGATGATTTTGAACAGTGGTAGATGCTCGAACAGGGTTATTATCTGAGCTTAGGATTGCGGTATCGTCTGCAAAAGTAGCAAGTATTGTGTCATTGTGTTCCGGTAGGTCAGACATATATATATTAAATAATATTGGTCCAAGGACACTACCCTGAGGTACTCCTTCCTGCTTTAATAGGTTCAATGTCAGACCGTTCTGTCCCTACTTTTACTACAAAATGTTTATCCGTTAGATATGAAAGTAATATTAGATAATAGGTCGGAAGAAACATTTTTTTTTTTTTCCTGGGTTAAAAAAAAATATTTACCTAATGGTTTACTTACCTCCATCAATTTTAAGTGCTCCCAGAAGAAGTTCACGACATTTTAGCCTCACGGCGTCGGTTGTGTTCACTGCTGGGAAAGTAGTCTGTTTAGGCTTCTCTTTTTTTTCTTCATCTTTCCTATCCTCCTTTGGCTTATTATTTGTCTTATTTTTATTAGAAGAACTGGGAGGAGTAGAGTTATTATCCTTACTTACATTTGAGCCTCCTGGAATAGTAGAATGTTTTAAAAAATATTTCATACAAAATTTTAATATATCACATTCATATGAAGTTAAAAACTATTGAAGTCAACAATCAAAGCTGTCCGATTTAAATATCATTGCACCTGATTGACTCTGAAAACTTGAGTAATAAATTTTATCTTAAAAACCATTATGTATTGTATGACGAAAAACATGTAAAGAATAGAAGAAGGTAGTAGTTCCCTTTTTCTATACCAATCTGGTTTCAAGATCACCCACAACATGATATTTCTATTTTCCCAATAATGCTTAAAGTAGCTGAGTATTGACAATCTTGTTTATATCTGAAACAGCTGGCTTGACCTAGAAGAGTTGTTGAGAGTAGGCTCGTCCAGATATGAAGCTACTGACAGAGCTATAGGGATGATACAAACTGTGAAAAAAAAAAACATCATGGTACCCATGATGGATGTCTTAAGATCACTAAAGAAAGAAGCAATAAAGGAATGGCAAGATACGTATGAATTGGAGTCACAAATAGAAGGGAGAGACTACCTATGAAGAAATTTCTCAACTTTATGAAAACTGAAGTGGACCGAAATCGTTTAACATTGTAAAGTTCCAGAAGACCCACGGTACATGCTGTTTAAACGTAAAAAATACAGCAAAGAAAGATAATTCGAATTAGCACCAGGGGATGACTTGACATTACTAAAAAACTTAAATATAGAGAAAATTAAGAAGATTAAAATTTTTTTTAAAAGAACACGATGTAGAATTTAGTGAAGTGAAAAAAGAAAAAAATTGGAAGAATACTTATTTGTAAATTTAGTTATCTTGAACAGTTTTTGCGCAATTACTTCTTATTCAATTGAAAACCTAACCATATTAAGAAAAAAAAAAATTGGTCTTAACTCTTTTTCCGTTTTGGAATCGGCCCATGCATCAAATGAACTTTTTTGTAGGAAATTTTGTCTAGAATCACCCCTAGAGTTTAGCCATTAAAAACTGGGACACCCTCAGATGGTTCGAAATCCGATGATGCTACAGCTTGTTCATTTCTTACCCATAACTAGACACAAAAAATAAAACTACATAAACTAAGCAGCATATACAAAGTGGAACTTCAGGCAATAGCCTTAACGCAATAGATTCGGAGAAAATACCAATAATAATAATATAGGTATAGAAAAATGGGTAATTAAAATAAGCTTATTAAAAATTTAATTTCAATTTAAATAACATGTATAGAAAAATAAGCATAATAAAATATGATTAAATAGAAGTCGTAATCATTGTTATTCGTAGTTAAAAGTTCATTCATCTGATTAGAATCCTACAAATTATATTTATTTCAATACTAATAGAACTAGTTGAGTCACATTCATCAACTTCATGCCATACATTTCTGTCAGTTTTATATTTTTCATTCTGTTCCTTTTGTGAAATTAATATTCTAAAATCGTCATAACAACTTGGCCATATCTGAAAAAATTATATTAATAAAAGGACAAGGTTTTAAGATTGAAATTTCTTCAGCATGTATTATACTGATAGAACTGTAGACGAAATAAAAATCAAATGTGAGATTCTTTTCATTATTACACCTTAACAGAGGTAAATGTCCTATTTTATGTTAATTTTCATGATTTTTTAAAAATTACTTTACTTCCTTCTTATACTCTAGGTATGGAAAGACAAAAAATTTAGAATATATAATCATCGCTATTTTAGTTTGGTATCTACAAAATCCTTATTATCTATTTTTTTTTTAAATACAAAATAATAAATAGCAGAGCAGAGGTTTCAGGATCATGTGAGAATAAATTGTAAAAAGCTACTAAATAACAAATTTATTTGTTATTTTAGTACAAAAATATTCAAATAACGCCCAAAACTGCAATGAAACTAGCAACATAACTATGCGAGCTTATAAGGAAAAAGAAACAGAACAACTTCAGAGAACAGAAAAACATTTCCCAGGTGGTTTATTTTAAAAAAGTACATGAATAATTTAATCATGGTTATTTTCGCTAACTCATAATAATTAGAAGTATTTTTATTTTGTATTGTTATCTTGGAATACATATCCTGGGAGGAAACAGATAAGATAAAAAATCCTCATGAAAAAGTTCAACATTCCTATTGGAAACTTGGATGGGAAAAAAAATGTTTTTTGGTTATTTTCTTCTCGTAGTTTTGGTGTCTGTGCTATATTGTAAATCTTGTAACATCCCACAAGTTGTCGGTTTTTAAAAATCTGTCTGCATATGTTGATAATACTAATCTCTACAATTGAATTGTATTTACACATTTTATTCATTATAGCATTACATACTCATCTATTTATCATGTTTTTGTTGGAGAAGGTTAGTTTTTCGGGGCTTAAATTACTTTTAATCTTACCAACAACCACTCATGCCAAGTTATGCATAGAAAATGCTGCTTCAACTTATCGGAAACTTGGAGAAATATAGTGGGAAAACGTCATTAGTAAACAACAGTGGTTAAGTCGTGGAGAAACACCGAGAACAGAAGCGAGAGAAGGACTTTATGTGAAAAAAAGTAACAATGTCTGTTTAGTGACGATATGGAAGGAATCCTTTATAATGAATTCCTTGATTTTGACTAAACTACCAGCAAAGATCTCTATTGTGATCAGCTGGATTGAGTAAAGCTAGTAATTGAGGAAAAAAGTCCGTTACTCATCAACAAATGAGGTATTTCATCCACCGATGACAATGTGAGACTCCATGCTGCAAAGCAAAAATTGAAGGACTTTGAATGGGAAATTATTCCTCACCCACCATATTCTGACTTGGCGCTTTTTTTTGCTGTCTCCAAAACTATTTAAGTGGCAGGAATATGTATTCAATTGAAGTGAAAAACAAGGTGTTTGCTTCCTTTAAATCAAAACTAAAGGATTTTTTCAGAAAAGGTACACAACATAACGTTTCAAGATGATAAATACATCTGAGATTGAACTGTTTCATTAATTTTATCCTAATCCTTATATCACACAACTAAATACTGACATTACTTAAGGAATGACCTGATATATTGATTTTCTCTTTCACAATATTGGATTTGTAAATTTTGAATAGCTTATTGCCTGTTTTTTTTTTTTTTGTGAAAATAAATGGGGCGATTCTCACCAACACTGATGATATAGATATCACATAGCTAGACCACAGAGGAACTTAGAAAGGACCTTGGCTATTAGCTATAGAGGCAGCAGGAGAGGTAATGGGTCTAAGTATTAACCAGGCTAAGACCAAATATATGATTGCTAACTCACCAAGGCCACCATCACCACATACAGTTACGTTTGGAGGAAACACATTTGAAAGCATAAATCATTTCGTCTATCTAGGATCCTTAGTTTGAGAAGAAAATATGCCTAGTCAAGAATTACAGAGAAGAATCACATCAGCTAAAAGATGTAACTTTTAAAAAATATAAACAATATTAAGAAGTCATTTGCTGGCTAGATCCACTAAGATCACTCAGTACAAATCCCTTATTATACCCGCATTAGCATATGGCTTGGAGACATGGCCATTATCACGAACAGAAGCCATCAGATTGCAGTTTTCGAGAGAAAAATCCTGAGAAGTATGTTTGGCCCTGTAAAAGTAGATAACCAGCATAGGCTAAGGCATAATGTAGAATTGTACCAAATTTACCAGGGACTGGACGTGGTTCAATTTTTACAGTTCTGAAGGCTAAGATGGGCTGGGCACAAGGATGGAATGTAATCTGGAAAAACCTGAAATTTATGACCTTGAAACGAAGCACCATTTAATGCACTAGATGAGCCCAACTTCACTCACCTAGAGCCAAAGAGCTTGCTTGAATGAGCAAATAAAAATTCAAAGCAATGTTTCTTTTCTTTTTTATATTCATATGGTTGGGATTCTAGATCCCTCAAGATCAAACTATTAATCACCATTAGTACATTCACACTTGCTAAATTCCATGAAGATACAAGAAAGAAATGTCTGCCAAGTGAGACCGACCAGTATACTTCCTCACCATTTTCACTGGTCCCGCACTTATCTGTATCTCAACTCAAGGTCAATAACTTTTTTCTTTCGTGAATAAATTTAATTATCAATCCATAACTTCTCTTCGAATTTGTGGCCAATCAAACGTGCTGTTTTGAAATAAAAGACTTTCAAGAAAATACTTGTTTGCATATATAAGAGAAAGTAGAGAACAGAATTCAATAAAATCATTACAGCATCATTATTTAACCAAAACCCACCTTTTTTTGAACCAAATCGAATAAACTGTTTCTAAAATATTAGAAAATCTACAAAAAATGCATTTGTGTGTGCGCAAGTGAAAGTACTGTATGGAATTTGATGAAACTATGCTATAATGTTCTAGTAATTGTCCTTTCAATTTTTGTACATGGACTAAATCGCCGAGAAAATTCAGGAAAAAAAGTTATAAAGAAAAGAGAAATGTTCATCGGAATCGAACCAGTATTAGCGATGATACAGCTTATTCTATTTTATACATATGTTTTAATTTATTACTTTCCAACCTATATTAGGTAAGGAAATTATTGTGATTGGGTCAAATTTCCAATTATTGGTTTTTGACGGATCCGAAAAACACATTTTTAGCCATTGGTCTGTCTGTCTGTGCCAAGATTTTATTAGATACTAGCTTTACCCGGCAACGCGCTGCTGTGGCTTAGCTTGGCAAAATGAAAAAGAAAGAAAATAGAAAGCACATATGAGTGGACTAATAGCAAAGGATATCTGTCATTTTTAAAAAGTTGGGAAAGAAATTTGTCTGCAACATAGCTTCAATTAAAACTTATTTTAATGATTTTTTTCATGATTCAACTTGAACATTCGTAATCATCTGAGTGAATATGCCGTCATTCCTAATCATCAGAAACAGTCTGAGTTGAACTTACAAAACTGAAATTGACTTTATTTCCGCTTTCTGAAAATGGCAGAAATCCGTCCTTTGATATTAAGCCACTCATATTTTTTCTGTGCCAAGA